AACCCGTGTAACAAAAAGTTAAGTTAGATTGCGACCCATATTTCGTTTAACAATATTGCATACAGCGCCATTTCCCCCCTGGTGGCGAGGTTTCAAACTTTCTTTTTTTCGCGGAAAATAAATTCCCATGACCTCTTTTACACGGTTACCAAGTCTGATAACACTTGATCCAGTAGTTTTCCTTTTATGACCGTTTCAAAGTGAAACTTCGACCTTGAATTGATTGGATTATCGAAATATTCAATTTGACATATCTTCTAAGTCCTAGTTTCGACAACAATTCCGTCAAAAATTCCAAATTACTGAAGCTGAAGTAAAAGGTTTAGTATATACAGTCAAAAGTCGTTAACCTGGACTCGTTGGGACTTCCGCAATTCCGGATTATCGATAATCAGTTTAAATTTGGTAAGATGGCCTGCAGAAATTAATAAATTAAAAATATGAAAAAGAGTATCAAAATTTACAAAAATAAAAAGCTTAATATTTATTTCTTTACTTTATGAAACATTTCTTTCAATGTAAGTTGTTTAAGTTGCTTCGTTTTATTAGATAATACTTTCTCTTTAATTCTATAAACAGTCATAATTTCTTGTTCAGTTACAATGTTCCGCTGTTCAAGTCCTATAATTGCTGTGTCCAGAATACCGACTAATTTGTCAATCGAAATTTTTGTTTTCAATAACCTATGTGTCACTTTCTTCACTATCGGAAGTGAATTATAATGATGAGGAATTTGATTTAAATCATATCAAAGACGGAGTACATTGAGATGAAATACTACATTTAGTAAGGAATTATTAGCCAAATAAAATAAAAACAACTGCCCTGAAGATAAGGATAGTGCTGACAGATCAACTTCCAATTCATTGCGCGCAGTGACATTCCCCACCCCTCCCCCCGCATAGCAGCGTGAAATTGATAAACAGATTTCGGAATGGGTAGAGAAACAAAGGATATGCCTTTATCCATTTTTTGCACCAATTCCACTTTTTGTTTGATGGACATCGAAACATACTTTCGCCTCTGAAATTCTATTTGACATAATCTAAAGTTCAAGCTTGCTTTTATAAAATTGCTCTAACAGTCTGCAAAAAATCATAAGCCAGATCCAATTCGAAGATTAAGGAACAACGTAATCTGCAACATTAACTAAAATAGATAATTAGAGCTTAGCTTATATGTCCATTATACATTAAACGCACATGCGTAAACATATTATGCATATGTGCATGCGGAAAAATATTACGCGCACGCAAGGATGCATTATGCATTGACGCATGCGCAGAAAGTTTGTAGCTTTGAGGTCCGGATTATAGATTATTACGGATTATGGGTGTCCGAATTAACGACTTTTGACTGTATTCACTGCATGTTAATAAAGTAATCAAAGTGTAATAAAAATAGATTATAGAATTTACGCTGATGCAAGTCATTTACAAGTCAACTACTCGGGCAAATGAAGAATCGTTTTGATCCTGAGCTTGTAAGACAAACCTAATATCACTGGATTTAAACACTTCTTTAATCTTTCGAGAACATTCCTTCTTTAGCTCAGATTCCAAGAATATTAAGTGAATACAATTATTGCAAAAGAAATTGAATATTCATTTGCATTACGGCTTGGTAGTTTACTAACGAGTTAGCAAAACTTAAATTTGGCTTTTTGTGTCTAAGAATACAACAATATTTTAAATATTTACAAATAAAATATTAAATTTGAGCCTCACCAGTTGCCTAGCATTTGACGATTGTTAAATACTAATTGTTTGTTGCCAAGTCTAACCCAGGCTGCATGGTTGGTTTTCGTAGTTTTCTAGGTTCCCTTAACAAAGGTTTTCTATGAAAGCATCTTAACCAAATAGCTCCCATGTTCTTTCTATGTTCAAATAACCAACTAACCTAGTTTAAGCGCGATTTTCAAGTGAAATTGCTAGCAAAACCTGAATACTCATTAAAAATCATGTAGCTCGCCAATCGGGAGTAACATGAAAGGTACGGCACCAATAATTGAATTGCTATTACGGTACACTGTTTCTAAACTTAGATGGTCATTCCTTAATTAAATATAATTAATTTGTAACTTCTACTAGCGCCGACGGTAAGAATTGAAGAGCAAATAAATTATATCGTGTGCAGTCTTGATTAATATAAAATTAGAAATATTTGCATTCGGACAGAAAGTTTTTTGAAATATTTGCAATTACCTTATAAGAAGGATTTAGTACTGATGATTAGAATTCAGTTCTTGACAATTAAATTCTAAATTAGAATTTTAAGGATACAATGAAAATACATTATGCATAAAAATACATTTTAGGATAAAAAATGAGTTGATTTTTTTATGTTTAAAAACTTCTTAAATTCATTTAGTAAACATCGTACCCTCATTGTTAATTGAATCCAGAATGCTGGGTGTCGTTTATATAATTATTCTTACTTGTCCACAAAACCTGCTGACTTATCCAGCCATTAGGTAGTTGCAGATCATTTCTACATAACCATTGAACTTCCATTAATTCGATCTCTAGAACTTCCATTAATTGTTTATATCATAATTTGACTTTTATAAAAATTTTTATTCTCAATTTTATGTTTCTATAAAAATATACCGTGCTTTAAAAATATGGATGATAGTATCAGCCGCTCTTTCAGCCACTTCATAAGCAATAGCTTGTTCAGAAATAAATTATGCAGTTAACGTCATATATTTCATAAAACGTCATATATTTTCATAAAATTCAAATAAACATCAAATGAAAGTTCTCAGTTTTAGACAATTCGATTTAAACGATGTTAAAGTAAAGTAGCAGAGGATTAAACGCCGAAGATAAAAATTTACTCTTACAAATATTTTTTTAAAAAAGGAAGAAAGAGAGAAATTTTAAAAAATAGTTAAAAATTTGAATAATATCATCTATAATTTAAAAAAAAATAGCTTTTCATATAGTATTAATAAATATTTATTACGCATCATTGAGGGAAAAATTTTCATATAAATAATTCTCTGTAAAATTTTATTTGAAATTTAAGGTTGAAAATTGGCAATTCACTGTAACAAAAATCCATAAACCACATTTGGCCTTATTATCACTAACATGTAAATTCGTGTATATCTTAGAAAATTTTGAATAAAAAAGTCTAATTTTTTGCAGGTATGCTTAGAAATACACCTAACTTTAAGATAATGGTAAAAATTTTATAGGCCATAATTTAAAATAGTTTTTTGAAAAAATTTATAAAAATTATTTAAAAATAGAATTAAAAAAATAAAACACAAAAAATGGGTAAATTTTATTTGGAATGAATCTAAATTTCGAAATGTGAAAGGAAAAATCAAAAAATTTAATAAAAAAAGAGATACAGTCAAAAGTTGTTAATCCGGACTCGTCGGGACTTTGGTGATTCCGGATTATAGATCATCAGTTTAAATCTCGTAAGATGGCATGCAGAAATTCTAAAATTAAAAATATGAAACCGTAATTTATGAAATAAAGAAAAATTATGATCTAAAGGGTATCAAAATTTACAAAAAAAAAAAAAAAAAAAAAAAAAAAAGCTTAATATTTATTTTTTTACTTTATTAAACATTTCTTTCATTGTAAGTTATGTTTCGTTTTATGTGATAATACTTTCTCTTTAATTCTATAAACAGACATAATTTCTTGTTCAGTTACAAAGTTCCACTGTTCAAGTCCCGCAAATTGCTGTGCCGAGAATACCGACTAACTTCTCAATCGAAATTTTTTCGTTTTCACTAACCTCTTTGTCACCTTCTTCATGTTTTTATCCAATTTTTGCAGGAATTCCACTTTTTGTTTGATGGACATCAAAACATACTTTCGTTTTGTAGATCCTTTGGGAGCTCCAGCATCGGAAATTCTATTTGACATAATCGAAAGTTCAAGTTTACTTTTATAACATTGCTCTTACAGTCTGCAAAAAATAATAAGCCGCATCCAATTCGAAGATTAAGGAACAACGCAATCATCAACATTAACTGAAATAGATAATTTTAGCTTATACCGTCCGTTATAAATTAAACGTGCACGCGAAAATGTATCCTGCACTTGCTCACACGCATCGGCGCAGTCATAAAGGTCTTAGGCGCAAGCGTAAATGCCTATGCGCATGTGTCAACACGGCGCATGCGCAGAAAGTTTTTAGCTTTGAGGTCCGGATTATAGATCATTCCGGATTATGGGTGTCCGAATTAACGACTTTTGACTGTATTAATAAATATTTGCCAAATTCAATTGACAATGAGGAGCTAAAATTTTGAGAGCTAATATTTTAAAAACTATTCGAACAATTTTTACAATTCTGGCATAATTTGAGTCGTAGAATCGAAATATGGAAAAAAATTAGTATGTTATTTCAGAAAAAGTCTGATTTTGTGTCAAAATACCTATGTTAGAATAGTGCTATATATAAATATAATACATATCCTAAGTTGCACTTTTGAGACATGAAAAATGCAGTTTGAATTTTGTCAATCAGCCCAGTAAAATGGGAGATATAGCATTGTCCCCCCCTGTTTTTTTTTGAGCAGTGTACAAATTTTTCAATATTTAACAACAGATGTCTACACATCATTATTGCTATTATTCTTAGGTTTGAACATTTTATGAATTATCAGCTGTATCTGGATAAGTGCAAGCCAGCTTATTAAATCTTTTGTTTGTGCTTATATAAGCAAACTGAAATTTACATTAAGTACTTTACTGCAGCTTTAAGAGTCCTAACAAAAATCACTTATATTTCACATTTAGTCTTTAGTGCTTTATTTTTCAATGCATATGCATGTGTTTACATGCATTTTTATATTAGATATCTGTATGGATTGCTCACACAGACACATTTATTATGTTATGCTATCATTTTTAATTGATTGTTTCTTAAAATTATGAAATAAAAGAAGACCTCTATTAGATGGCACATAAAATGCATTTAAAAACTGAATTTTGTAACTATGTTTTGTATTATTTTAATATTAATATTACCTGCTTTACATTTCGTAATTCTTCACAATTTGCATATAAAGATTTTGCTTGAGGCCATGTTCCATCAAGAATAATTATATTATATGCATCACAATCATCATTTATTAAAGGTAATGTTTCTAAAGCTACAGCTTCAGGACCAGGATAAAACAAAACGGAATTTGGTGACAAAAACACTGATTTTAATCTGTCGTCTCTAAAAGGAAAAAGAATATAATTATCATGTTTTATGTTTTGAATTCTTCAGATAATAAAAAGAAATTTTAATGACACATAAACAAGAATTATACATAAAATACACATGATAACTAAATTTCTCCTCTTTCTGAAATACTACAGATCCATAAGCTGTTCTTGAATTCCTACATATACATATGTATTAGTACAATTTCCTAACAAATAACAGAATGTACAAGGTGTATCAAATATTCTTCAAAGTAAAAAAAGAAAATGAAAAACAAAAATTATGAGACAAATCAGTAAAAAATATTAAATGTAAAAGAATCAACCAAAATTGAGCAATTCTGGTAGAGATAAATGAATTTCAATACATAAGAAATGGAATTTTTAAAGATGAGTTTCAGAACATTTTAGTGCTCTTTCTACTACATAGTTAACAAATATTATTTAAAGCCAAAAGTGATTATGAGTGAATTACATAAAAAATACAGAGTTTGTAGAGAAATTCTAAGAAAAGTTTTGAATTAAGAGTATTACTGAAGAAAATGTAGTTATTAAATATTTGGCTGTATACAGAGATTAAACTCCTGAATTTTTTATATATTACATAAGACTGGTTTTTAGTTGAGGATACATATGATTTGGATTTACACAATCAAGACAATATACAAGGAGAACAATCTCTAGTACAACAACAATAGTAAAAAATATTTAAACTACATTAGTAAAAAAGATTAAAATGAAAATATTATAATTTAATTTAGGGCTAATTTGATATCCTCAAACTGGCATCCTAAACAGTCCAGTGGTTGATGATGCCAACTGCCACACCATTGGTTACAGCTTCAAAGGTCCACAAAATGGATGTTTGTAATGTATAGATTTTTGGTGGTACACAGCACATAAAATACCATTAAGCTGAAAGTTTTCTCGAGAGATTTGCTGCAGGGAAAGACAAACTGAAGACCTTTGCCTCAATTAAAACTGAGATGAAGCTAGGCAAAAGTCGAATTGTCACCTATAAGGGCTGCGACGTCGTGGATGCTTCAGTGGGAACGGAATCAACACTCTTATTGGTGATGCATCACTTTTTATTCACACAACATATCACAGATACAACATTTAATTAATACATTTAGAAAACTATAGTAGATATCCGAGCTGGTGACACGATCAGAGACGTTAACGAAGATGGCACTCGTCATCACTCGACGAACAAAGTCTCCACACCTCAGCTCACTGGCGGAGCTTCCCAAACTCTCTTTCTGACAGGCGTCTCACAGAAATCTCATCTCTTTATGCATGCGTATTACTCAGTTAAGTCGTTGCCATTCACAGTTCTTTAAAATAGGTGTTAAAAATGAATTACAGTCCTCGTAGTGTGATCTCTAGTTGAGAGCATCATAGATCTTTCTAGTAGACAGTTCAGGAACGTTCTTTACAGACTAACTCCTTCCGCCTCCAGATTTTGTTTTCCTCGGACACAGAGGAAACAAAACCTTTTTTTTAAGTTACTACAGGATAAAATACAAGTTCAGGCTGGCGTTCGTGTTGTGGCTACACACAAACACCTGCCGCCTCCAGTTTTTGTTTCTCCGGACACAGGAGAAGTAAACCTTCACAGTTTATGGTTTCAATACAGATTGTTCAACATTTTACCAGTTAATTTTAAACCACACTGTTACAAAGGCTCTCCACTCTCATAACCAGGCCATCATAAAAAGAACACATTTAAAAATACACATACAATATATGAAAAACCAAAACAAAAATTTTTGTCTTTAAGAATAAAACTAACAATTTACTATATAGTATGAATTTTTTTAAAAAAATACATTATACATAATCAAATAACAAGACAACTTAAAAGAAATGATAACTAGTCTATTTAACTGGCATGTACAGAGCTTCTACTTAAGCAGTCTACATTTAAGTTGTCACTTCCGTTTTTATGATGTATGGTAAAATTATAAGATTGCAAAGGCTAAGGCCCAGCGTAATAATCGACCATTTCTACCTGCATTATTTTTTTAGCCATACTATAGGGGATTATGGTCTGTTTGAATGGAAAATTTAGTCTGCCCATCTATATACCCTTTCAGTTTTTTTATTCCATACGGAATTGCGGCACACTCTTTTTCAGTGGTGGAATACTTCCGCTCACTATCAGTAAATTTTTTACTGAGATACAATATGGGATGTTCTTTTCCTTTATCATCCTTTTCGGCTAAAACAACACCATATCCTTGATCTGATGCGCCTGTCTATAGTATAAATGGTTTAGAAAAATCGGGTGCATGTAGCACAGGCCTACTAGATAGCTTTTCTTTTAACGATTTGAATGATTTATTACATTCATCATTCCAAACAATTTTTACCCCTTTTGTTATTCCCTTTTAACAAATCTGTCAAAGGTACGGCTATAGCAGAAACATAGGTATCTATAGTATCCAGCTAACCCTAAGAAAGCTCTAATCTCAGTTTTAGTTGTGGGAACAGGAAAGTTTTGAACCGCTTCTATCTTTAGTTCTGCTGGAGAACGTTTTCCTCGACCTACTATGTGACCGAGATATTGCACTTCTTCTTGTGCAAACTTGCCCTTAGAGGGTTTAATAGTTAAATTAGCTTTTCTTATTCTTTCTAAAATTTCATGTAAATGTTGTAAATGGTCCTCCCATGTTTCAGAAAAAATAGAAATATCATCTAAATAAGGGGTAGCATCTTTCTCACATCCGCATAATATTTCGCTCATCATTTTACTAAAATAATAAGGAGCATTTTTAAGCCCAAATGGCATGCGCAAAGGCCTATACACGCCAAAATTTGTAGCAAATGCAGCAATTTTTCTGCGCCCTCTAGGGGTCAGCGGAATTTGCCAATAACCTTTAGCCAAGTCTATCAAAGGTGATAAATTTGGCTGCTGCAACAGTTTCAACACATGTTGCTCTATATTGGGGAATTGGATAGAACTCAGTACGCGTTATTTCGTTTAACTTTCTGTAATCAATACATGGCCTAGGATCCCTACCTGGGTGCTTCAACAAGGATCATGGGGTGAAGTATACTCAGAGGGTCCTGGTTCAATAATCTTGTATTTTAATATTTTTTTCAATCTCGACTTTAAGAATTTCGTTCTATTCTGTCGAATTTGTCATTCTATAAGGCTTATGCTGTACGCGTTTGTCACTGATTAGTTCGATATCATGTTCGACTAAATTTGTTTTCCCTGGAATATTCGAAAATATAGCAGAAAACTTTACCAACAACTTTCCCAACTGCAGGATTTGTTCATCACTAAGTCTTTCTTTAAGATTATCTTTTGCTATTATTTCATTAAAATCAAACACATTGGGGTCGGTTAACATATAAGGAAAATCCTCCTCTAATTCCGAGGGTTCAACTATTTCCTCGAGTCAACGTTTTGTCAAGGAGCACCATATTCAAAAATTCAGGTCTCATATGATAAGGTTTTTTAACATATTGATGTGATACACTTTTATTCCCTTCCTGATTCCCTTCAAAACTTAACCACATAGGTTTGTTTCTGATAATCTTTTCTCTATTTTTTCCCGGCCCTTTCCATTGAGGAAGTGAGTTTATGTGGGTTGGTTCACTGCTAATACTAATACAGGCATCTCCTTGCTGGAATTCCCTTTTCACGGCATTTTTATCATACCATTTCTTCCTTTTGTCTCTCACCTCTTCCATTTTCTCTGTAGCTAATTCTCTACTTTTCTTTAACCTATTGATTAATTTAAAAACATATTCTATTACGGTATCTTCTTTTTCCTGAGGATCTAACCATTTCTCATACAATAATGCGACAGGTGCTCTGAGGTTGGTCCCGTACACTAATTCAGCTGGACTAAATCTTGTACTATCATGCGTTAACTGTCCGCAGAGCAAAAGAGCGGCAGGTACTTGTATTTCCCAATTTGGGGCAGCTTCAATACACAATACCTTTAAGACCCTTTTTATTGACCTATGGAATCGTTCCACAGGATTGCTCTGGGGTGGTAAACCGAACTTCTGGAAATTTTTATACCAAACCTCTTAAAAAATTCAACAGTTAAGTGACTCATAAAAGATTTCCCTTGATCAGTCTGAACCTCCCTTGGAAAGCCTATCCGACTAAATACCTGCAAGAGTGCACTTACAACAGATTTCGACGTTATATCCGGTACCGGGACGGCGTCAGGATATTTAGATGCTAAGCACATAACTGTAATAAGATATTTATTACCTTCAGTAGATGTAGGTATAGGCCCGCAAGCATCTATATTAACCTTACTAAAGACTTCCAATATCACAGGTACTATTACCAACGGTGCTTTCTTTTTGTCACTTGCTTTTCCTACACGTTGACAGGAGTCGCACGTTTTAACGAATTCCTCAATGTCTTTATAACAATTTGGCCAGAAAAAATGTCTTAGTAACCGGTCTTTTGTTTTCAGCACTCCTGAGTGACCTGAAGTTCCTTCGTGACAAATTGCTTTAATTTGCTCTCTGAGGTTTTCTGGAACAACAATTAAATGTTCTTCTCCTCCTAACTTATTTACCTTCTTTTTTTACTAAAACCCCCCATTTTAATCCCATAACTTGTTTTACTTCCGCTTTTTACTAGTTCTAATAACGGCGCAAGTTCTTTACTTTTTTGTTGTTCATCAATAAAAGTACTTGAGTCTATTTGAATCGCAGGACTTGTGGGGACACAAAGGTCGACAGGAGGCAATATCTCTCTGTTTTCAGACCTCTCATGAACATCGTCCTCCTCTTCCAATTCTAACTCATTCTGCTCAGAATTTTGATTTGTCTCACTTAAATTTTCCGCTTCCTTTAATTGTCGTGCTTGAGATCGAGTAACGACCACATTAACATTACCGATATACGACGAATAATTTTTCTCAGTTCCTCTGAGAAGAGCCGCTGTCTGGTTGCCTAGTATATATCGCCCTTGGTCTAAGTGGTTTCTATAACAGCTGCTTTGGTGGTTACAGTATCCAAATCGCATTCAAT